TATGTACTACGAGCGAAGTATTTTCAAAGTGCTTTGTCACTAACCAAATAGTTCTTTGCTTGTGATACTGAATTTCTTTGTTGGAAGTATCCCATATTCAACATTTTCATAACTTTCAAATAATATTTCTGATATTTTTCCATTACCATCGACTGCACCAAGAAGACATCATAATCAAATCAGCTGCATCAGGCAGTGAAAGAGGAAATTTTTGTCTATTTATTTATTTATTAATTCACTACTTCTTACAAAGCGTATCCAGACGATTCACCTGAAAAAATGTAGTCATTAAATCCATACAATCAACGATCCATCAAGAAACCTCAACATAATTCATTCATCAGCAGTTGAATATCACAACCATTTTCAGATTTAATTTTTCCTTTACAAACACAGCCTCAAGTGACATAAGTAAAGATTAGCATCTCTTTAATTAGATTAATTCAGTTACCTTTCAAACTTCTCCTGAGAAACCAAGTTACTCTTTTCAAGTCTTCCTCCAGCATGGCACAGATGAGTTTACAAACAGTATCTAGATTCATTTATGACAATCAATTGCTTTGGAAACAGTAATTTCTCAAAATGTAAATGCTAAAAAATATTGGCTTCGATCGCAGTCTGCCTGAGACCAGTCTGAATCAGACATATATCTTAATCAATGAGCCTTTTGGATGTCTTACAATTCTTGTTGTGACACAAAGGCTGAGGCAAAACAGGACCTTCTACGTCCCCTATTCAACTTCAACTTCAACGAGGGTTTTAACGACTGCTTGTTCATAGCGAACTGGAGCCACCCATTTCTCGGGTCACGCAGTTAATTTCATTTTTTAATTTCCAGGAGATGACGCTAGAAATTCGCCAGAATCTTGATCTGACCCGCACGAAACTCTGCTACGTGGTGGGAAGTGTGGAGGATCAGACGTAAGTATTGATTAATGTCATGTGATATCAATAAACAAACTTTGGCTTCCGCACATGGCAGAACGGACCTACTTATTAATCCTTTTCCTTTGTTGAAACAGCTATGCAAAGTACAGGATACATAATCCTGAGCTGATTGTCGACGATTATGATACTCTGTCAAAAAAAAAAAAAAAAAATTCGCCAACTTACATCCAAATTAAGAGTAAGAATAAATATGAGCTTTTTGAGATATTTTTATAATGTATGAACAAGCAGTCGTAATAACCCTTTTTGAAGCTGAACTTGAACCCACACTAACCGTGCATATTTCTTGCAGTATATTTTCCGGCCAACATATGTAGAAGCAATCTCCTTAACCGAAGAATGCTTTACCGTCAAAGTTGATTTTACCCCCTGCCTATGGTGCCATCCACGGCCAGGTAAGCTATAAAAACATTAAAATACTGAGCAATTCGTGAAAATTTTTATTTTGTTCTGCATCTTACGGTATTTTATTATTTGTATATTGGTAAGTGTCTAGATAGATAGATGCTGCATTAAATTTTAATTTGAAAGATTCATTAAAATAACTACTCGTAAATGAAGGCTAGATGCCTAGATTTACAGCAGAATTCATTTCTGTGTGCAGGACACATAGTAAAATATCAGTTCTTGATACCCCTTTCTAGTTGTAGGTGCGGGAAAGTAGTATTTCACCTCTTGATTACATTTGATCTTATACTCCTTATCCAGAACTTTGAAGGTTATGCTATTCAAGGTTTTTTTAAACTCCTCTCTCTTAGTTTTTGACGCCGTTTTTGCAGTAAAATGCCCAGGTGAAATGTCATAGCTGATTGTAACTTTAGAATTTTTACGGAACACGTCAGCTGAAGAGAGTATTCTGATGGATATTCTTAAACAGTGTTTTGTGTTGTGAACTATCATTGTTTGTATTTCTTCGTTGTCTGTTATCCAAACATGGATAATTAAAATGTATTCTTTCTTTTCTTAGGCAATTGCATCGCAAGGACCAGTTGTTGATACCACCAGTGAATCTACAGCACCCTTCCGTAATGACATACCGACATACTCATCATCAGAAGAGGGCTGGCCCAGCCCCATCTGCTCCCCAGAAGGCAGGTCAGAAGAGAGCTGGCACAGCTCCATCTGCCCAAAAAACCACCCTCCCGAAGGGCGGAGCTAAGCCCGCCATATCCGCCATGCCCGACGCCACTATGACACCCGTCCCTCTCCTCACGATTTCCTTCAATGTGAGAGCGGACGGAACGCCCGAGTTCGTCGTTAGCGGGCCGGCAGCCGCCGTCACCGCGGCGCCGCCCGCGACGCCCAAGTCAAGCCCTCAACAGAAGAGGTCTCGCTGGGAGAGCATCCCCAGCACCTCGGCAGGTGCCATGGTGCAAGCAGTGCAAGCCGCGCAGCCGCGCGCGCAGAGCGCCGGACGCGAGTAGCCAGCTCGAGCTCAAGCAGTGCATCAAGATCAGGGCCCCGCGGCGTCCGCGCGCCCCTCGCCCCTGGCCAGCAACAGTGGAGGCGACGACACCACCGCCGCAACCACCATGCAGAGACGACGCAGCCGCCCACGCTGTGGGCGTTGCAACAAGAAGGGCCATCGTGCGGCAGAGTGTGAGACTCGGCGTGAGCAGGTGACTGCTCCCATTCCTCATCCTGCCCCGCCCGCGGGAACTCAAGCTCCGGGAGCCGGTGGAGTAGCCGTCGCTGCAGTCGCCGCAGCCGTCGAGCCCGCTGGAGCAATCGCGGCCGGAGCTCTGGAACCTGCCGGAGCTACAGAAGCCACTAAACAAGCTGCAGATGAGGCCATGGACGTCGACGACCAGCTGGACGTCGAGATTTCTGCCGAGGAGGAAAACTCGCTGCTGCAAACAGACGCGGTCTAAAGAAATAAAGGTGTGATTTTCCTACCATAAAGTGCTGTGTCTGCCTGTCTTGTCTGCCTGAAAGTGCTATTTTTGTTCAAGTAAGAAATAAATAATATTTTTTTTGTACTGCGTTGTAACCTAGCTCCAATCATTCTCCTTTTGTCGAAGTTTCTTTGACTCTAACTGAATGAAATTAAATCGCGCATTTGTCAGAGATCTGCGCCTGAAAAATCCGATGGGAAATTGAGGATTGAAACAGGTTGACACTACGAGAATCAAAGAGTAAATGATCACTTGAGAACACTAACACGAAACACTAAATTTAAATCAGCTGACTTCAGTATCTGGGGCGAGCTGCTGAAAGAGACTCGGGAAACTGCCTTGACTTCATCTCGGCCAATGAGATGGCCAGAGGGAGGGGAGGGTAGAGCAGTTAGCTGTGACAGCAGAGAAATTTAATTAAAATTAAAATCTTACACAAAGAAGGAAAGCTGACTTAGTAGATCACTGAGTGGTCACTGGGTTGAGTCACTGCAGGATAAAACCTGGAACTTGCATAGGTAAGCATTGTTGAGAGACTGGACGGGACACTGATTTTAAATCGAAGGTCCTGACCAGACCATGGTCTGTGCACGGGAGAGTTGAATGAGAATCAGAAAAGGATTGGAACTAGTGCGGCAGACCATGGAACACTGGGGACCGAGTGACCATCAGAGGAGACTTTTTCATGTACGGTGCCGATTTTGCAAGGACCAACAGCCGCGGAAAGCCAAACGCTGTGACCTCATATTGCACGTAAACAGTGAAAAGCACATCGCTATGCCGCGCGATTCAGTGACAACAGACAAAGGAAAATCAACCACTGCCGCGCCGCCTCGCTCAGTGGACACGGAGACGAGCGAGGCGGCTATGTGCATGTTTACGGCGTGTCATTGCGCGATTCAGTGCGTGGACCATCTAAGTGCACTGAGTCAGCGGTGCTTCGTCGGGGCGAAAGGGGTGCACGGGCTGCAACTGAGGAGGTCCAAGTGCACTGCTGTCATCCGCAAAGTGTTGTGCCCACACTTCCAAACGGCACTGAGGGAAGACATTGGGGATGGGCCCTACAGCTTTATTGTTGATGAGGCGACCGACATTGCGGTCACCAAGCAACTTGGTGTCTGCATTCGGTTTTTCTCGGAGGGAGCGAAAGGGGCCATCACAAGCTTCCTTCACTTGATCGAGCTGGAAGCGGGCAACGCCGAGTGCATTGTCAAGGGCATCAAGGCCGCGCTTGCAGCGTGTACAATTTGAACATTCAAAACATGCGTGGCCTGGGGACCGACAATGCCTCGGTGATGACGGGCCGGGAGAATGGCGTGTTTGCCATTCTAAAGAGGGAAGTCCCTCACCTGCTGCTGGTGCGCTGTGTGTGCCATTCCGTGCAGCTGGCTGTATCAGAGGCAACGAAGATGTTGCCTCGCACTCTGGAGTACTTAATACTGCACACATACAGCTGGTTTTCGCACTCGCACCGGCGGCAGGCGGCCTATCAAAAGCTATACGAGGCGATGAACGATGGGGAAGAGCCGCTGAAGATGACACGCGTGGTGGCAACGCGCTGGCTGTCTGTGGAGACGTTCGTCTTGCGCGCCCTGAAGCAGTGGGATGAACTACACGCCCACTTTAAGCGGGCCGCGGAGGAAGAAAATTGTGAAACGGCTGCTCAACTGGCTGCGCTGTATGCCAACCCGTTGAACAAAATCGCTCTTCTCCACATTCTGCCCGTGCTCCGCATGTGTCAGCGCGTGAACAAGCTTTTCCAATCGGAGACGGCCGACCCCGCCAGCCTCCTTACTGAACTTTAAAAAATTAATTGTTGGAATCGTGAGAACTGTTATCACGACGGGGCGGGCCAGAGGGGATTTAGTGCGCGTGAAAGTCGCGGACTATCTAAATCCCACAAGAACTCTCGGACCCACCCTGCACAACAAACTATTAGAGCTGCGGCGGGGCGGCAAAATTACTGAGAAGGCGGAGCGGGGCACGCGTCAGGCGTGCTATGACTTTCTGGTGAAATTGGTGACAGAGTTACACGATCGGTTGCCATCTAGCCTGGAAATTTTGCAGAGCATTTCTGTGCTTTCCCCAGAGAGATGCCTTACTGGTGGAAAGACAGAAATCGTTGCCTTGGCACAACTGATGCGTGTCCCTGAAGAGGAGATTCTTATGGTGGAGCACCAGTGGGACCACCTGCAGTCCACGACTTGGCAAGAGAAAAAGCACACAGACAAGTTTTGGGCTGAAGTGTTCGCTTACCGCGACAACTTTGACGAGGTTGTGTTCAAGGAACTCGCAGCTGTGGCGAAGTTCCTACTGGTGCTTCCGTGGAGCAACGCTGAAGTGGAGCGGGTCTTCAGCATTCTGAAGATAGTGAAGAGTCCGCATCGGAACAGAATGAAGAATCTCACTCTGAATGCGATTCTCACCATCCGGGCGGGCCTCCGGAGGGTGGGAAAATGCTGCCACAACTACGAGATCCCAGCTCACGTCCTGGCAGATATTGGTAAGTTAGTTTATTTATTTTTTTACACAGGTACGATTCGCAAAAGAAAATTGTGCGAATTTAACGTAATATTTCTATTTGTGTAGGGAGTTTGAAAATATACGGCAGGACTGCAGGAGGGACCGGGGCCGCCGCTGTTCTCCCTGAAGCGGAAGATGACCCCGATGACCGGGGCGCGGTCCTGCATATTCCGGACGATTTTCCATTTAATATTTACTTGTTTTAACTTAATTTATTAT